TAATGCGACGTTACTCATTGATAGGATCGTCGCTCCTCTAAACGCATTCCAGATTCCGTTTTCTTCGACACAAGGGGTTTGTTAACATTCTAAGCTTTATTTTGCACGGTGATTGATTTGCTATGTATTATTCACAGAACCACGACAACCAGAAGAACATCACCCATTTGCAAGAGATTCTTCGGGAGCAAAAGGTCGCACCGTTGAGCTATACTCGTATTGCGCCTCCGGGCGTTGGTGGCTTTGAAGGCCCAGGAAATTATTGGATTCCGGTAAGTTCGACTCGAACCTTTGCGATTTTTTTCCGACTTGCTTTGGCGTTTAGGTTTATGCAAAGGCATCCGGTAATGATATTCAAAAGACTGACAGTACGTGCTACCTATCTGACTTTCGTATCGTAAAGATCCCACTCCGGTTCTCGTCCTGTGGTTCTTTGACTCTCGAGGTACGTTTGTAAATAAATTCTCTAGTTCTATATACACCCAACTCACTGGGCCCATGTAGGTGGTTTTTCCTACGGCGACAATAGCACGGCCGTTCCCGACTGGGTAGACGCCAGTGTCGCTACTTGGATTGCGAACGAGACCGCAGCGATGAACGATGCTTGGGGCCCGGCTGAAAATCGTGGTTCTCTGGCGTTTGTGCACATTCCACCGTGAGTCTCGTATACCACCTAAGGCTAGTAGTGCTGTCGATAATCGCCTTCTGGGTTAGGCATCTAATTCAAAACCTCCAAGCTACCTTGAATAGCACGAAGGATCCTGGACTGAATGGTACGTTGAGTAAGTTCGTAAATCGAGTGACTCAGAATGATACTGTGTATTACAGCGGACTTACTGGGTTCGGGATCCACGCAGTCAACGACCGATGAGACCGATCTCGGTGAGGACGATGCATTTTGGGATTCCTTGAATGCGAATGTCAAGAACCTTCATGCTGTCATTTCCGGACACGGTTCGTCCTTCCTTCCTTCTCCTTTCCTTTTCTATTGTACTCAAGTCCTTTTCACTACAGATCACGGTAACGAATGGTGTATCCGCGAACCAACCAAGAACGTCATATTCTGTTTTGACAAACATGCAGGGTATGGGGGTATGGGGATGCTTCTTGGGGATATGGCGTGCGGAATTTGGTTTTCGGATCGACGGATCCGTTGGCGGGGGTGCAGACATGGATTAGGCTGGAGGAAGGGGAGACAAGGGCGAATATTACGCTGGATGCGAACTATTCTTGAGTGCATTGTGATCAAGAAAATCATGTATAGTACAAAGCTTGAGATGGACTACTACTACTAGCCTTCAACATGAGCGCGCTCAAAGTCCAGGCACTAATCAAGACAATCTACGACAAGACGAATTCCGGTAATTCACATTCTAATAACGGACAACATCAACGCCATCCGGACACAGAAACACGGTGTAGTAAACAGGTGAGGTATCTGGCCCCTTTCTTTTTTGCACGTGCGGAGAATCCATCCCAGGATGATACTCCTTCGCCCGAGCCTGTTCAACAATCAAAACGGACTTGGTAACATTCATCCATAAGAGCACCACACTCTTCTACAGAGTCTAGATAGGAGCTCTGGAGCGCATAAAGTTCCTCGGATGTGTCGACTACCAGATATGATACCATCTAGAATCCCGTACTTCCACTTTCCGCCATCTAGCCACAGATGATAGAGTGAGAATGGTGCCATACTAGATTTGAAGTACCTTACCTTCCTGCTGTAGTATACTTCTGTGACACGTATTGCGGTGATGGGTCCAGAGCGATTTTTGACACAATAAGGACACTGTATCAATGATTCATATACATGCACACAAGGACAGTAATTGCTGAGTGCATTAAAACAACTCGCTTTCGAAAAGGCAGAGCCATTCTATCGACACTTTCCCACAGATATCGGACTTCCAGTCGCTCCTGGAACACCCTCTGCAAGCGTCTCTCAGATAGGGTTTATTCTATGTTCTGGTACTTTGTATTTCTTGGAATAGATCCATTTGTAGAAATATCTTGCTTAATACCTTCTGAGCAGAGCGATAGAGTGTATGTCCACCTAACACGTTCAGTATGTCCCCAAAAAATCCATCCTCTGTTAGTTTCTGTGATGGACGCCGGGGACCCTCGCTGAGCAGGCGAGCAGATGACGGGAGGCAAAACTTGCGTTAGCTCCTCTTTAGTATATCCGAGGCCTGACCTAGACGCGAGAAGCATTACTTGGAGAAGGTCACAGATGCCTTCAAATACAAAAATTTTACGACGAGGATGGTACAGCGAGTCAAAATTACGTTCTTTCAATTTCAAAGAGTCAAATGGAGATGTTCTATATAGATTGAATTGCTGGGGTTTTTCCATCGATGACCAGCTGCTTCCAATCCCGTCGCGGGGTTCTGTAGAAACATACCGACATGATTCTCAGAAGGACCCGGTATACGCACCGCTACAAGTGGCCCAATCTCCTCCCCTCTCCTTTCTAGATCATCAACCTCTGCGGTAAGTGGAATCCATGTGTTCATGGTAATCCGGGTGCCTCTGGATGCTTCGGTGAGGGTTGAAACATAGGATATCTGGGGCTCCAGATGCATCAAGTCAACTAGATACACTAGTTTGGTAGTGATGGGCGTGTTTGGATGGCTTTCCCGATATTCGCTCTGCCGTTTAAGAAAGCACTTCCGCATACCCCATAATTCGCTCATCACGATCCACCGCATGAGCTTTATGTCTCTATCTTCTGCATGACGAGAATAGCCCTCTAGGACAACGAAATAAAATGTCAGAATTGTATATGATATAATCAACACACCTGCGTTATCTTTTCCTACTTTTTGACAAAATACTCGATGCTTTTGCCTATCGGTCTTCTGGCACTGACGACTGCAATAAAATGCTGTGGTACATCCGGAACAGCGAAGGAATTTTGAAGACGGGGGAGTAATACACTGCCCAATCATCGTTAGAAAAGAAAATCACAATGTAATAAGACTCGGAGATCCAATCACCTCGGGCGTGTTGCAATAATATATGCCAGTAAGTCTTTCTAGACTATTTGACAAGTCGATCCGGGTGTTAATAATCTTTATAAAACTAATCCACCATCTGTCCATCATGGTGAACGAATTCAGCATCTAACTCAAACGTAGTCTAGAATTCACAATACCTTTCCGCCCAAGCTTCCGAGTTCCCCGCGCGTTGTTGCCAAAGATCACGGTCATATGAATACCTGCGTATCGCCTTGGCCACTACTTTCTGTACCGAGCGATAGTAGGTGTATGTCGAGGTCACTTCCAGAACACTACGAAACAGTGTTTCCAGGTCTTGCATCCGCGGTAAATGACGATCGAAAGTGCGCAAGAATCGTCGTATTGTTGGTAAAATCCCCGCTTCAACAGAAATAATTACACTGTCAAATCGACCACGGACAAGTCCACCAATCAAGCAAGTCATGCCCAGTTTCCATGTATCCGCAATATGGTCATTCCAGATAGCGGTCGCCCCGTCGTGGCGTGAGTTGACCTTTTTACTGATGCGGGACAAAAGATGAGAGAGAAAGTACACCCCACGGTGCTTTATCTGCTCGAATTGGAAACAGACAGACATTTCATTGACCCAGTTAAAGACAAGGATCCAGAGTTTGGCGGCGCAGTAGTTGATCTCTTGCTCTTGGGAAATAATGGACAGTACTCGAGTGGCTCCCAAAGCGCAAGCTTTAATAGTGAGCTCATCAAAAGTTCGTTTAAATACGTCGTTCCAAAACTTCTCCCAATCTTGGGTATGTCCAAATAAATGACTAGCCTTGAACAAGGCCGCGAATGTAGTTGAGGATGTGTGGTAGATATGAGCCGAGCGCTGGTTCGATGGAGAGAGGGTGATGGTGTATAATGGTAAGCGAACTAGCATTTCTACTACGCCAGGGGTCGAATGAAGATCGGGAATATTAATAACATCGGTGGTGAGTAAGGCCGCATATAAGGTGACAAGCATCGATAATGCCTCGAGTTCATGTCCATCTAGCAAGTCGCCAAGGCGCAATTTGGGTTCGATAAATGTGATGAAAAAGAACAGGGACCATTTTGCCATAGGCACCCAATGTTTCTCAAAGGTAGATACCACGGATGGTGGATGGCTCCGGATGCTACCGTTCAGTGAGATCATCAAGCGATGGGAACGAGTGGATATAGTGCTCATGACAATGAGCACAGTTTCAACACCACTCGGGATACCACCGACAGTGCTTGTACTTTTCGGAGGATCAATTCGGGTTAAAGATTGTAAGAGAGTCGGGAGAAGTTCGACGAATATAGTCTCCGTATTCACCATAGAACACAGCTTCCGAAGCGCATTCTCTGAGCCCTCCTTTCCCGAAACGACTTGTCGTTTGAGTGCCTGCGTAAGGTATAATTTGGAGAGTTACATCAAAAAAAGAGAAGCACGTACAGCGATTCTGTTGTCCATGATGTGTGTAGTAGAAAGAAGAGAGAGATAATCGACGGTTTCAAATTGGTGAAAGCGGGCGCCTCCGCTGTTTGGTCCCGATGTTTCGTCGAGATGTTACCTTACAGTTGTTATGCAGTTAGTACCGATCGACTGAGTTATTCGAACGGTTCTTATTTTTAGTAAGTGAGTTGAAATCCCCCGCTTCGCGTATCAAACCTTATTCACCTCCTGCTCCAACTTGGGACTTTGCTTTAAATTGAGTAGTTCATCAGTACCAACAAAAGACAACGCATAAAGAATCGTGAGCTTGCGATGTGCTAAACCATATGATTTAAATAGTATAAAGCTTGCTGGAATCATCCAAGGACAAGACCGTTGAAACGCACTCGCTCGAAGCCAAGTACAATTACTCGCAGCAGGCCGATTGAATGTGGGCAAGTCGTATGAAATGGAGACTAAGTATGACAATTCTTGAATATCGGAAGAAGTCAGAAGCATATACAAAGCAAAAAGAGAAGGCAATTGGGAAAAGTAAAAGATGGATCTCGACTATAGCGTCATTATAGTGACCTCTGCCCGGATTGAACGGACGACCTTGTGGATCCTTTATCAATACAGGCGACTGGAATCACACGCTCTACCGCTGAGCTAAGAAGTCTACACACGTAGGGAGAGTAACGGGTAAAAAATGCAATAAATGAGCGTATCCAAGTCGGGCGTTAAATTCTACTTGACTATAGCACTTGCACTTGAGGAAATCTTAACATTTGGAGCCACTTCGAGACATCCCACTTCACGATGGTCTATAGATTGTTTAGGTGCGTGTTACGAGCTAACTCTTCTCCTAGAGCAGGCAGTTTTTCTGCTTTGACTTCGATTCCATCGATCCTATCGAGTTTCTGCTTCCGCGCGCGCTTTTCGTGTCTATCAGGATGGACTTTGAGCTATTCGCCAAGGTCGTGCCAGAGCATAATTAATTGACGTCAACTCCAAGAAGCGAACGTCGACGGGTGAAACCGCAAGATGTCTTTCTTTAGCAGTCAGAGCAATCTCGATTAACAGTCTCCGTTATATTCTGTTGACCATAGCGAGACAATTACTTTTCTTGTCGTCTCCCTTTACTTATGACTGGATCCCGATTCTTCTCGAAACGCGTGCGCGACGCGATCGCGTACTGGGCCACGTGACAGGCCTAGAACATCAAGCTCCGATTCCGAGACTCTCCTCATAAAAAATTCAAATTGAATTCATGTTCTTCTGGAAATTATGATGAGTATAAAGACCTAGACCAGGTCAAACACTTTTGCTTGCCTCTGCCTCTGAGCTCCCTGGCCTGGGAAATCGGGCGTCCATTAATATCCTCTGTCATCTGACAGCTGAAGCGAAAAAAGGGCAGCTTTAGAGTGAGCTAACTGAGCATCTTACCTCGGATCCTCCAGTATAAACGGACTCTCTCTCTCGCTTTTGGGGCAATTGGCTCGGCTATTCTTTGCTTTTCTCTCACCTGTCTACAGAATTACCATATGGCCGACGAGTTTTCCGAAAATCTTCCACGCCCTCGACCCTTTACCTCCCCAGGCCGTACGAACTCCCAGCTTTCACCCGCTGCTCGTTTTCGCGTGTACAACGACGAAGAGCCAGAGGTCGGCTTGACGACAACGAGAACAGCGACAGCAGTGCATCAACCGCCTGCCGGTTCACTGGGAATATCAGCCATTGGCACGACAGCGACAGAAGATCCTTCTTCTTCTTCTCGTCTACCACGTAACCTCACCGTCTCTGAACTTCCACCACAACAGCAGGCGTCGCCGTACATCCAGTATCTATACGGTGCATTAAATCGAGGGCAGGGATATAGCACAACCAATTCGGCAAGGACTTCGTATACCAGGGTCGACGATTCAATGGCACTCGAGGAGAATTCAGAACAAGAGGCGCAGCCTGAAGCTGAAGCTGAGGTCGAGGTCGAGGAAGGAAATGTCGAACAAATTCAGGCAATCCCACAAACGCCAATAGTCTCAATCTCATTTCTATTGATTTCGGGGAAACGCAGAGTGATGACGTTTGAACCAGAGACGACAGTGGGCAGAGTGAAGGAACTAGTTTGGAATTCATGGCCCACAGGGCAAGGTTAGAGTCCTTTGTACAGTCACACGACCGCTTCTGATTTGCTTTCCTGAACTTCACCTTATTTTAGATTGGCAGGAGGATCGACCCCCAACACCTTCACATCTACGAATTCTACATCTAGGGAAGATATTACAAGATGAGGATACATTGAAAGGTGTGTATTGTATTGTGCTAGAGTTGGGCCAGAGTGTCGGACTGATTCTTCGTAGCATGCAATTTTCCTATTCACACGCCAGCTCCGCCGACATCACCTCCGTCACCGACTCCAGTTCCAACTATCGTCCATCTTGCCATCCGGCCTACGGGTCCAGGAATACCCAACCCTGGAGATAGCGCCGACTTGGAGAAGCGGAAGAGTAAAATCGCTACGAGGTTGGTTGCCCGATTCAGTTCGGTTGGGGAGCCTACCTCGCCGGTCACTGTGACTCCGACTGTTGGCGCAGGAGATTCATCCGCGCCTCCGCAAAATGAAGACTCGCCCGGGTGTACGTGCTGCGTTGTGTGCTGAGCGGAGTTGCATCATTCCCCACGATCGTTACCCAACATTTTTGCTGTTGTCCCGGTTGATGTACCGTCCTATCAGCCTGCTCTTCTCTACTCGCATGGACGCACACCCACCGCTCCGTCTCATCGCAGGAATGCTATTTTGCACATAATCGTTCACGTTGTATATATCTATCGCGATCATCTAGGTTATTACTGGGTCACCTCTTGACGTTCCGTCGCCATCCGCACCTTCGTCTCACTGTCGAACGCGAACGTTTAGTTGGCTGTCAGCCAGTTATTCAAGAGACCGTTACGATTGTCTTTGTGCGGTCAATGTTTCAGCATCGATTAAAGGCCCTGAATGTTGAGTCCCTGTATCTCCGACTACGGAGCGGACACAGGGGAAAGAGTCAAGACTTTCGACTTTTGACCGCTGCTGTTGGATTTGCGTGGTTGTGCTTTTTGAGGGATGCACTCACCGTTGAATATTTGCTTCTTTTTCGTGGTTGAAGGTTTTTCGGATTGGTTTTCGGATTGTTTTTGCGGTGTAAATTGTGTTTTATTTGGATTGGATTTTTACGATGCTTTCGTTTGCTTTCTTTAGGGACGACGAGCGAGGGGGGAAACGTTATTTATAACCATTCGGATTCTGGAACGAATTTTCCTGCAACATACGAATCTCGCGGTCACTATCGCATGTTCGCTGCAGAACTGCACAGTTTTGGCAGCAAAGATTTGCAGGCAGGATAGAGACCGGGTACAGTAGAGACTCCCTTCTCTCCTCTCACTTCGAAGTGTGCATTTGGTTTCTTGTGTACAATGATTTTTTGATACCTTACTATTCGTAGTACATTCTCCATTTGTCTACACATACCTGCATCCTCCCCACTCTTTTTGTTTGCATTTTTATGACCATTCACGAATCAGGATACTCTTTTCTTCTGTTGCTTCTTGCCAGAGTTTATATATTTACGTTTGCCATCAGCAACTGCCAAGATTCTTGGCCTGTTTATACCATCTCGAAGTGCGCTTGCTTTTGACAAAGGACGCGGTGCCAGCGGGGAAGTCACACCCGTACCGTTACCTTATCCACGTGTGCTGAGCTTCAACTCAATGTCACAATTCACACGCTCCTAATCATCTATCTTCAGCTCCTAATCACTTCGTTATTCAAACGAAGGGTCACACGAGAATTTCCTCCTGGCTCGTGAATTCGTCAACTTCTTCATGATCATTGTCGAGCTTGAGCTGGCTCAATAGGCAGCGTCAGACGGAAATGTTCTGCATGATCTAGCTCTTCAGGTCACTTTCATTCTATGCTCAAAGCTCTAAAGTATCTTCTTTGGATTCCGAGCTTCAACGTTTGTCTTTGTTGTTTAGCTGCGGATTTCAAACCAAACTATGCAATGTGCATGGAGTCTGATTGCCAGCTCTAAGTGACTAAGTCACTTTCATCCGGGCTCAATAGTCTAAAACATCTTCGGATCTCAAGGTCCGCCTCAACGTTTCTCTGTCGGATAGCGGCGACTTCAACTACTAATTAAACCACCCAGTCAGCATAATTTTAATTTATGAGCCCTCCAATGGGCTCCTATACCGATTCTCCTTGGAACTCATACCACAGGCTAGTAATTTCGAATCATTCTTCCTTTGGTATATCTTTTCTACTCTCTTGTTTCCCTCGGATTGATGCAATATTTCGGAAAAACTGATTTAATTTCGATAATCTAATTCAGTTGTTCAGATCTTAGGCATCAAGTTGATACTCTACTGGGAGATGCTCGGCTTAGCTTTTTATGGTGCAATCATACCTCGGTAGTTGGCCGTTAAGAGATTTAATCTCGATAATCTCATTGAGTCCGCGAATAGCTCAGGCCTTAGGCATCAAGTTGATACTGTGAGACGGATCTCGGCTTAGCTACTTATGGTGCAATGCCCTTGGACTTTTGTGCTGGGTTAACATCTATCTTCTGACTACGTGAAGAAACAGTCACGGTACGGGTGAACGTTTCTGGTCATCATTGGGCAGAACGGCTGGGTGAAGTGAGTCCAACGTACACGAGTAGTGTCCGTCTCGTTATAGAGGGCCTTGCTTTGATCACGCACCCTAATCGTGTGGTTTAGAATTTCCATCGATTCCTGTGAAGAAAAAAAACTCTTCCGAAGAGTTGAAAAGTCAGCGTCTGCCGCATGTACGAAGGCCAGACTCTCGAAGAACTGGATGCCCCAGAACCAGGGTTTCTTCCGTCGGGGAGCACTTTGGAGCCCTTTCACAACCCCTTATTCTGCGGATTGAGGAAGCTCTACACAAGACGCAAGACGCTTGTTCCTCAAACCAATAACATTGACGCGAAGGCCTCTTCTCCTGCGGAGGGCATTTTTATATGTAGTGCTATGTCGAAGGTGAATCGACCGGAACTCGAACTGATCAGGAGGATATGAGCAGCTTCCTATGCCTCTAGCCTTGCGCCTTTGGACAAGTAAAAAGTACATATAACATTGCCAAACCGCCGGTTAAATTTCTCGCACCCTCTCTGCCCTGCACGCTTCCTCTGACGTTCCTTCCACTACCATCGGTGCTTCCAAATTCTTATACTTCAAAACACAAGCCGAATCGACGGCGAACTACCATCTGTATTCGCGTGATACCTCAGATGAACCTCTCCGCCTCGAATCCTCCTTCTTTTCCGCTATAGTACCGACCAATCGTAAATTTCTTTTTCGAATTCAACGCATACATCCCGTGTGTTCTCATTCCAAGCTATCCCTGCTTACTGTCACAAAATAATCATTCGCCTGGCGTGTCGTGAATGAGGCCTTGACAGATCGACCTACAGCTCCTACATCTTCATGGGATATAATATTTCTCATACCATCTCGACTGCTCAGCTTCCTTCTACTACAGTCGACCCGGCAATTGCCTCTGGCTTTGGCTGTCTTTGAACGGTTCGAACGAGATTAAAAGAAAGGCTAAATGAAACTCAAGTACTAATCTTAAGGCTCCAGCGTTCGGATTATGTTGTTGCTCCTTTCAGGTTCAAG